AGGTGTCTCTGCCTTCCTGTTTCTGGCCCCCACCCCCAGGAGGTTCCTGCCTGTCCCCCTTCCCGTGCTTGGGGGGGCATGATGAGCCCCGCTTGGGGCCGGGCCTGGGTTTCCCCCTCCTCTGGGAGGGCTCCCTTAAAAGAGTGGGGGATGCGGAATGCCCCCCAGACAGGAGGTGTTGTGGCCCCCAATGGCCGTGCTCATGAATCCCTTGTGTCAGGAGTGTTGTTGGAGCAGCAGGCCCTGCTCCTGACCCCCAGGAAGTCTGAAAGGGGCGAGACACCCTGGATGGAGGCAAAGGCCCCCTTTGAAATGGGGGGACTCTTCCCTTGGAGCCAGCGGGGAGTTGCCAAGGCCCCCTGGCCTAGCTGAGGAGCAGGTTCTTCTGCCTCCCCTGCTGGAAGCAAGGAGAGCAGCACGAGGGCCTGAACGCCGTGGCCATTTTCTGCTGGCCGAAGACGACTTCTCCACCCACAGCAGCACTGCGCCTGGGAGTCCTTTTTTGGGGGGGGCATTGTGGACAGCAGGAGACGGGGAGAGTTTGGTTCCCCAAACACAGCGATAAGATGTGGGATTTGCCTCTGGAGGGTGTAGCAATGGCCACAGGAGTAAACAGCTTTCAAGCGATTAGAGAGATTCATCTGTCAGTGGCTACTAGCCATGGTGGGTGAGGGGAACCTCCACATTCAGGGGCACTAAGTTTCTGAAGTCCAGAGCCAGGAGGCAACATCAGGTGAAGCCCTCGGCCTCTGTGCCCTGTTGTTGGCCCTCCAGAAGAACTGGCTGGCCACTGTGCGAGACAGGATGCTGGACTGGATGGACCACTGGTCTGATCCAGCAAGGCTCTCCTGATGTTCTTATGAAGGCCTCGACCTCTCTACCCTGTTGTTGGCCCTCCAGAGGAACTGGTTGGCCACTCTTGTGTGAGACAGGATGCTGGACTAGATGGACCCCTGGTCTGATCCAGCAGGGCTCTCCTGATGTTTTAATGAAGGCCTTGGCCTCTCTGCCCTGTTGTTGGCCCTTCAGAGGCAGTGGCTGGCCACTGTGTGAGACAGGATGCTGGACTAGATGGACCACTGGTCTGATCCAGCAAGGCTCTCCTGATGTTCTAATGAAGGACTCGGCCTCTCTGCCCTATTGTTGTTCCCTCAGAGGAACTGGTTGGCCACTGTGTGGGACAGGATGCTGGACTAGATGGACCTCTGGTCTGCGCCTAGGTAGCTTAACACAGTCTAGAGTCAGAAGGTAACACGTTGCCCCTGCACTGTTTTTTCTGCTAAAAGACTTGAGCGCAACCACCATTTACATTGAATGCACTATCACTCCTTTGCTGCCACTGCTGTGCCGTCTATGGGGTGGGTTTCTCGCCATCAGGTCACAGCTGACCCATGGCCACCCCCCGTGTGGTTTTCAAAGCAAGAGGCCTTCAAAGGTGGTTTGCCATTGCCTGCTGCCATGTTACCACCTTGGTATTCCTTGGAGGTCTTCCCTCCAAATGCTTGCCAACCCTGCTTAGCTCCTGAGAGATCGGGCTGGACTGGGCTGGGTGGTTTGAAGGGGACATGTGCTGCCCTTTGCCGTCTTCCTGCCAGAGAGGCAGGCCTCCAAGGTAAGACTAGAATGAATACAGAAACGGGGAGTTTAGGTGATGTCCCTGTTGAGAGAACCCGTTACAAACCTGTAGTCAGATTAAAGGTATTGGCCAAGATGCACAGACCACTATCTGTGGGCTCCTTAACTGTCTGCAGTTTCGGCACCTGCAGGATGGTGGCCCACACTGGATCCCAGAGAAGAAATGATTGCAGAGGGGTTGGAGGGAAGACGGCCCTTGTCCCTACCTGCTGCATTGGGTTGATGTCCAGGGTGGCTGATAGTGCTCCTGAAGGCCAGGCCCTACAAGGGAAGGCTGAGGGACCCGGGAACATTCAGGCTGGAGAAGAGGCTGAGGGAGATGTGATTGCTCCCTTGACGGCTTGGGAACTGTCACAGAAGGGTAGGTAGAGGATGGTACTCACCAGGGCTATTTTGGGGCAGGAACGCACAGGAACGGAGTTCTGGCTGGCTCCCAAGTTGGCCACCCCCAGCAGGAACTCATTACCATAATAGGGCACACCCAATAGCAGAAACTCATTAGGATTGGCTACATTAGGGGTGTGTGGCCTAGCATGCAAAGGAGTTCCTGCTACAAAAAAGGCCCTGGGTTTTGACAACAAACAAGGTAAACAGAATAAGAAGCAAAAGGTGGGTGTGGCTGGATGAGCACACTTCTGGCAACATGGGGGTGCAGCCTAATGAGCTATGCTCTCATGGGTATGGCTGGATATGCTAATGAGTTTCTGTTGTTGGGTGTGGCCTATTATGCTAATGAGTTCCTGCTGGGCTTTTTCTACAAAAAAAGCCCTGGGACTCACAATAGTGGTTCTGAATTATGGGTGGTAAGGCACTGTGACGAAATGGCTGCCAGGCCTTAAAATGGATGCCAGCCTGGTAGTTCCTTGCGTGTGTGGGGGGGGGGTGCCACCATAGGGAACAATGGAGCTGGCATACCTCCCTGCCTACACTTCCCAGCTGCCTTGAGGGGAAAGAGCGGGAAAAGAGGGACACACCCCAGGGGCGGGGCCAAGGGGAAAGTGGCTTTTTGGCTCCTGAGGGGAAAAGGAGTCCGTCTCCGCCTGGCCTTCTGAGTGGATGGCAGGTACAAGGGAGAGCACAGGTGGGACTCCTCTCGCCAGGGACTCCGTGGGCAGTCCAGGCCGCCATGGACCGTGCTGGGGAGCCCAGGAGGGTGGCAGGGCCGGTGGCCAGTCCTGTGGAGGAGGAGGGTGGGAGTTTCTCCACAACAGGAGGGGGAAACGCAAATCCGGGCCTGAGGCCACCACCCACTACAGGGGTAGAGAGGAGGTGTGTGGGTAGGGGCAGAGAACTTGCGTTTTTATCCAGTTTATTTTCTGTGCCCCGGTTGTGTTGAAGTGCCTGTGTTTATTTTCTGTGCCCAATAGGTATATAGTTAAATAAATCTTCCTTTTTTGAGTTTAAAAAGCCTGGTGTGCCTTAACCACATAGTCTTCCCCACTCTGCACGTTACCAGGGGCAAAGGGCCTGAATCTGAGGGGTTGCCAACTCTCCAGGGGGCGCCCAAAGATCAAGGTACCCATTTCCCAAGGTGGGGGATTTAGCCAGAGGGGTCTCACTGTCCCTTAAGGAAGGTGGTAATTCAATTCAGTGAGTGGTGGCAGCATTTAACAAAGATAAATAGTCCCACCAGGCGGCACCTCAGTCTCCCAGGGCTGCCCTGAAAACGTGATTGGAACCTTCAGCTGGTGTGAAGCACTGCGTCCGGGATGCTGACCGGAGTGGGTCATGGAGACCGTATCGCTCCCACCTACACCGGCCCCTGAGTTGTTTCCAGGCACGATTCAAGGTGCTGGAGTGAGACCAACACACCCGAAGGGCCTCCTACTCCCTCGTGAACCTCTGACCCCTCTCTGAAGAAGTGAGCAGTAACTCATGGGAGCTCCTACCCTGCCACAAATTTATTTTATTCTTTTTAATTCCTGGGATTTCTATCCTACCCGCTCCCACAAGCGGACTCTAATCTGAGAGAACCAGGTTTGATTCCCCACTCCTCTGCTTGCAGCTGCTGGTGTGACCTTGGGTCTGTCACAAGCTCTTTCAGAGGTGTTCTCTCAAGGGCAGTTATTGAGAGAACTCTCTCAGCCTCACCTACCTCACAGGGCCAGGTATACATCCAATCTCTTCTCTTCTCAGGGCGGGTTACAGTAAGCTCAATAAAACAGATGAAACAATGTCCACATAAGCTCAAAGCAGGAAAGGTTTAGTTATACCATGCCTCTCTCTTCCGTCGAGACCCAAGTTGGCTTACGTAATTCTTGTTCTCCATTTTATCCACGCAACAACAATCCTGTGAGGTAGGCAAGGCAGAAAGCGATTGGCCCGAGATCACTCAGCAAAATTTCATGCAAGGAGTGGGGATTTGAGCCTGGGTTTCCCACATCCGAGTCTGATACTGTAACCGCGACACTGTGCTGGCTCTGAAACCCACAGCTGAAGCACTACTGACAAAATGGCTGCTTGCTCCTCCTCGCCACGATTGGCTCCGTTGCTGAGCAGCTCTTGCCACTAGAAGTGGGGGTTGTGGCCATATTCAGGGGTCATTTCCTGCGGGAGCGCACAGGAGCGGCACTCCGGCAGTAAGGAGCCCCGCCCTCA